CCCTTTTGTGGGCCATGCAGGGGTAAAATTTAGAGAAGGATGTTGCCCTCCCAAGTTGACTCACCCTTTGGTGAGCCACTTGAGGGTAAAATTTAGAGAAGGAAGTGGCCATTCCAAGTTGACTCACCCTTTTGTGGGCCATGAAGCCCAAAGACAACCGCAAAGAAGTCCGTATAGTGAGTGGGATACCTTTTCTGTTCCCTCCCTTTCTGTCCCTTTCTGCTGCTCCTAGTGCTTGGAAAGCACTCCCAGCAGAAGCCAAAGCAAAAAGTTTCCCTCCCTTGGCGCTTCGTCCCCTGCCCTTGCACTCCTAGCAGAAGCCAAAGCAAAAAGCAAAAGCAAAAATAGTAGGGGAAAAATGTAAAAAAACCGGAAACATTGAAAAATCCCGGAAAATATGCATCCAATCCTAAGTGTGTCTGGCCTCGGCCAGCCTGGGATGAGCCCGAAGAGTGCCTCCCGTGCGCCCGTCGAACGGGGGTTTGTCCTTATCTCCCCTGCCCGGAGATGTACGTGCCCAGAGCGGGCGAAGTAGGCTTCGGCCAAAGTTATTTGCCAAGACTTGCTGAATGACTGATTTCCAAGATGGCTCATGCCTTTACGTGACCGCAGCGGTCAGAGCAGCCAGCCATTTTGGCAAGGCACAAGGTGACCATAGCGGTCAAAGCAAGTTTAAGGTTCATTGGAACCTGTCCCACTCTCAGGTGCACACACAGCGCATACAATCAAACGAGGCGAGGTCCCTAGGTTTGGTTTCATCGGTTCTCGTCCCCTCCATTTGGTTCCCTTTTTCATCCTTTCCCCTTCACACACTTCTGCTTCCTCCTTTTTTTCATGTCCTCCTGTCTTCATGTTTCGTCATCTCATCCTTTCCTTTGTTTTCGCACACATCGGTCCTGGCCTTAGCGTGTACGTGCGCATCTACAACCCAGTTTTTAGGTCGCCCAGGTCTCGACAATGAGGTGAGGCTCATCGGTTGTCCCTGTGCACTTGGTTTCTCTTTCATCGCAACCACGCGCACTTTTGTCCTGTCTCGTCCTCCTTCTCATGTCTTCATCCTTTTTGTCTTTCCTGCGCGCGCATTTGCGCATTCGTCCTAGCCTTAATTTTGGCCTCCCCTCGGGGAGGCGTGTGTGTGTGTGTGTGTGTGTGTGTGTGTGCCCCTTGTAGTCACAGGGATTCTTTTGACTTGTGCACTGAGCTTTCTTCATTTAGAGCAGGGGGACACAGCATTTCACTGGGACTGTGTCCAACGAAGCTACCAGTGAAATGGGATATCCAGCTTGGCCAGCTGGACGTACCTGCAACAATTTTAAGATTTGTAAAGGGCTAATGCACTGGGCAGACAAGAGCGTACGTCATCATGTCTGATCGCCGCTTTCGGACTTGAGACTTTGGCCTTACCTCCGTTTGAAGACCCCCAGGCCCCTAGGTTCTCTTGGACCCTTCAGGACTTGGCTTCTTAGGCTGGCGAGTGGCACCGCTTTCAGTTCAGTACACCCAGAAAGGGATTATGTTTGTATGCGTGCTGCTATTTTTCCCTTTCCCTTGCTGGGATTATGTTATATTTTGCTCCTTCTAGGTTAGCCCGATTATGGTTCCCTGAGGCACTCTGTTGCAGACTCTTTGGCTTGTTACAATTGCCATCGATCTGTTTGTTGTGGAACTTGTTTTCGTCCGAGGCACGGCCTTTCCAAAAGTCTTTGCGGACATCTGTTGCGCTCATGGCTGCATCGTCGGGGCAGAAGAAAATCGGTCTGGATAGGACGGTCGTTTGGTTCTGCTTTTCGAGGGTTCGGCAGGTACTGGTATATAACTCCACAGCTTGAGATGCCAGTTCGGTGCCATTTCTTGGTCTTGCCTGTTGAAAACCTTGTTTTGACATTTGAGAATGCCTGTTGCACCATGTGTCCCACAGTTTCGACTCAACTGTTGGCGGCTGTGCCACTAAAAGCAGGTAAGAGATTTCTGCTGAGCATCATTTGTGTTTGTGTTTGTCATGTTTTGTCGTGTGTGTGAGCCCTGCTGAGCAGAATGCAGCCATGGTCAATGACCGACTTGATGGTAGGGAATGAGGGAATGGATCCAAGGGAAATGTTTTCTGGGGGCTCACTCCCTACTAAGCACCAGTCAATACCAGTCAGATGATCTAACAATTCTTGCCGATACCCAGGTGCATTGCAAAAACAGTTGTATTATGAGGGCGAATCAGCTGCTCGCCAGCACGGGCTTCACAGCAAGCGGTTCGTTCTGCGCTCTGCGGGCTCTGGGTGCTCCTGGAAGTGGCGCAAGGTTACCGTTTTGGGATGTTTTGCCAAAGTCCAATCTTATGGGATTCATCATGGGAGTTCCTTCAGAGGTCTTGATTCATCTCCCTATTGTTATTGTTTCTTCATAGAAGTCTTATGGCATTTGGCATCTTTTCGTCTCGCAGAAGGCTCGGGAATTATGAAGACAAGCGGTCCCACTGGAGATACTGGAGGGAACACGTGCCAGTCAAAGCCCTTCATTTCAGGATGTCCCTGCACACCAGATTTTGTTTCCAGCTTATGCCCGAGTCGCACCAGTTGACTCACCTGCCCTGGACTAATCCACTCCACATACATATATATATATATACATATATATACAATCCTTTCCATGGCCGATGCATCTATCCATGTGCTTGGATCTATGCCGATGATTCGGCAGGCTTTCCTTGCGGGGCTGCTGGCCGAGTCAATGCACATCACAAGCCACGGAGCCTTTGTGGTCTATGATGCGCATGGAGAGGAGCTAGTCTGTGTCACAGAGCACTTCCATACTGCACACTGAGACACAACTCAAGAAAGAGTTTCTGCAGTTGAACTGTTGTGAGTGTTTGTGTGAGAGTTGTTTGCCTCAGGAGCTGGAGAGGTACAACAACAAGCACGAGTTTTTCTCAGAGGTCAGGGTTCCTTCCCTTTGTGGGCCCCCTCTGTCACAAGCTGAGGAGGAAGCACTCCTTCCGATTCCAAGGCTTTTGAATTTCCGTGTGACAATGAACTGGTCATCCACGCTTGAGTGCCCATCACTAGCAGGGCAGGATCCAATCAAGCAGATCTATGTTCATCACAGTGGTTTTTGGAGGCCCTAAAAGTCGAAAGACTATATTTTGTCGCAGTGATATAAGGGACGTTCTTTTTCATGTACCCTAAAGACTAAAGACAATATGTTTTTATAGTCTTTGACTCTCAGGGAAGCTGTTCAAAGACTACCTGCACCAAAACAGATATGATGGACGCGCATATCGTAGAGCTTTCATCAAGCTTCACAAGATTGCCTAAGTGATTTTTGTCCTTCTGCAGGTTGCTTTGTACGTCGAGACCGTCATGCACGATAGCACTTTGCAGATTGAATCCTTTGCAGAAGTCTACACACTGAGTGGGACAGATGTGGCAACCATACTGAAGCTTGGTGACTGTCATTCGAACTTTCGATGAGGTTGGTTTTGTGTCAAATTGTGAGTGATAGTGATACTCATACCTCTATACCTCCACGTACCTCCGGAACTCGCGGATGCTGCAAGGTGCTTTCACCAAACTCACAGGTGCAGCATCGGGCGTGGAAGCTGAGGCTCCACTCTCCCATTTGTGCCGGCATGTTTGTGGAGTACGCCAAGGAGCTGGAAATGTTGCTGCAAGTTGCTGTTTGTTGCAAGTAAGGCCAGGAGCGCCCCTAGTAGCGATGCCCTCTTTGTTCCTAGTAGCTTCTTGTTCCTAGTAGTAAGGCCAGGAGCTAGTAGCATCCTTGCTCCTAGTAGCGATGCCCTTTGTTCCTAGTAGCTTCTTGTTCCTA